AACGGACACGAGTGGATGTGTGAGAAGGGGTCGACTCCCTTGTTAGTTTTTAATTTGGTTTTGAGGCTCAAAAAGGTTCTCTTTGTGTGACAAGATGTTAGTCTTATTCGCGTGTTTGTTTTTGTTTTAGTAGAGGTTTTACTGCGTAAGGTCTTACCAGCGCTGAAAGATTAGAGATCTTTTCGGCACTTATATGAACTTTTAGTGTTGTTTTGAAGTGCCGTAAAACTTTTACTAAAACTAAATACACATCCTGAATATACCCGACAATGTATTCCCGTACCCACGAGACACTCACTGTATACATATCATGAGTATACCCAACAATGTATTCCCGTACCCACGAGACACTCACTGTATACATATCATGAGTATACCCAACTGCATATTCCCGTACCCACGAGACACTGACTTACTGTACTGCCGAGAACCGTGGTTCTTAGCGCACCTTCTTCCCGCCCTATCTATCTTGTCCTTGGGGTGTCATCCCTTTCTTTCTCTGGTCATTTTTCTTTCTCTTGTCTTCTTTCCTTTCCCTTGTCTTTTCTTTTCTTTTTCCTTGTCGTTTCTCTTCTTTTTATGTCGTTTCCTTTCTTTTTACTTGCCTTCTTCATTCTTTTGTCATTCCTTTCCTTATTTTCTTCTTGTCTTTGCTTTTGTTTCCCCTTTTCTGTCTTTCCTTTTTTTCTTGTCTTGTCTTCCCTTCTTCCTTGTCTTCTCGTTCTTTTGTCTTTTCTTTCCTCTCCTTTTGTCTTTTTTTCTTTCTTTCTTCCCTTTTTTTATTCGTTGTGTCCTATCGTCATTTTTTGTTCATGCAGGGCTCCTTTTTTGCCCCCCATTCAGTGTCTTTTTATCCGTTTCTCGCCCAGCTTTCAGTGTTATCGTTTCGCTGCCCGTTTTTCTGGGAGTCTTTTTTTCCTTCTTCTTCTCCAGCATTCTTTTTTCTGCTCCTGTCTATCTTTTAGATGCTTTGTATTTTTTCTGTATGACTGCGGGCTTGTCTGTCTAGTTTATCTGCTCGTCTGTCAGTCTGTCTGTCAGTCTGTCGGTCAGTCTGTCTGTCTGTCTGTCTGTCTGTCTGTCTGTCTGTCTGTCTGTCTGTCTGTC